GCCCGCACACCCGGGACGTACAGCACGTCGGGGATGAGCACCTGCTTCCCGGCCTCGCCTTGCAGGGCGACGGTGCCGCGGCCCTGGACGTCTTGCAGCGCCCCATTGAAGCCACGCACGTGCTTCACGTCGCCGCTCGGCCCCAAGTCGACGAAGGCATCCTTCGTCCCCATCAGGTGGTGGGAGCAGCCGCTGTCGAGCAGGACCACCGCCGGATTAGCCTGCACAGCTGCCGCCACCGCCTGGAAGTCCTCGCCAGCCTCTGGCGCCAGCGAGACTGTCGGCTCCACCACGCCGACCAGAGAGCACGACGCCGACTTGTCGTCTCGCCCCTTGCCGCCCGAAGAGGAGTCGGCGTCTTTCGCCGAGGTCGACGACTTGGTCGACTGCTTCTCCTTGCGCGGCTGATTTCCTCCTCGACGAGGTCGACGACTGCCAGACCTCCCGCGGCCTCCCTTGTCGTCGTCGTCCGAGTCACTGTGGTCGAGGCACTCGAAGGAGAGGTGGTCGGGGTCGCCGCACAGCCAGCACTCCCGACGTCGACTTCCTCCTCCTCGGCCGTTGTCCTTGGTCGACTTCTTCTTGTCGACCTCCTTGGCCGACTTCGAGCCACTGCTGGTACCGCCGCCAGACTGTCCACGCTGCCCCGGTCGACCGCCTTGCTTCGCCGGGGCGACGTAGTTCACCTGCGCCAAGAGCTCTTGTGACCGCTCGGCCTCCTGCATCGCCTCGTCCTGTAGGATGTACGAGGTCAACGTGTCCTCGTTGAGCGTCGCCCGCGTGCTTGGCGCCATCGACAGCCGCTTCAGCAGGTTGTAGCTGCTCGGGAGTTTCTGCATAACATGGGTGACTTGGTAGGTCGACTCAATGAAGTGCCACGCCTGGTGGCCGGCGTCGAGGTACTCCCGGCACCACTTCAACGCGATTTGCACGCCAGGCGAGCAGCACCGTGAGATGACCGTGAAGGTCAACAGCTGCACAGCGCGGAACTCAGCTCGCAAGTCGGGGTCGCTCGGCGTCGCCACGGTACCTCGAGCGAAGCTGATCAGCCCGGCCATCTCCAGCTGGGGCTCGATGGCCTCCTTCCAGGTGAGTATGTCGGGTCGACCGACCAGCGGGGGAGTCACCGAGATCCTATCCGGCGTGAACTTGAAGTAGCCGTAGCTCGGCGCAATTCCGCCCGCCGTCACCTGGGACGCCGACATCGGCGTCAACCCGCTTCGTCGACCTCCGACGTCGCCCTGCGAGGTGCCCGCAGCCGACGTCGACCGCATCCCTCGCCCTTGAACGCCGCCGACTTCGTCGGCGTGAATCACACCACGCTGCCTCGACGTGCCTCCCGCACTGCTGCCGACTTGGTCGCCTCCGGCGTTGACACCCACGTCGACGCCGCCCTCGGTGTTCACCGGTCGAGGAGAAGCAGGCCGAGAAGGGTGCTCCGTCGCCCATAGGGAACGGATGCCAGCCTCGACGACCGCCCACGGCAGGTCGCCATACTCGTTGGCCTCGTGCTTCCTCCTCGCGTTTTCCAGCCGTGCCTCCAGGGTGTCCACCACCCCCGTGTCACCTACGGCTCCTACCATAGTGACTATCGCACAGCTGCCGGCCTATGAACAACTTAGGTAAGGTGCCCACAAAGTCGACTAGACTGAAAGGTAAGTCGTTGTGCCGTCCACGCTCACCGCACCATGCGGAGATAACTACTACAACGGGAGCTAGACTACGGGCTAGGCACGTGTGCTCGTGTGATCTCTGCGTTCGTTGGTCCTTAGTCGTTTTCCTAGTGCACACACTGCTTGCTAGTTCACAAGGCAATTTGGCAAGAGTTTCACTAGAGAAAGTTGACAACAATGATACAATGAAGTTGGCTAGGCAAGACTACATCAGAGCTAGGATGCAAGCAGGTCGACTGCCAGCGCAGCACGGTCGACCGCGTGCCAGCACGACTTGGTCGACCGCGCTCCAGCAGTGCAGGGACGCGGCTTGCCAACGCTGCAGGTCGACGGCGAGACAACAGCGCAAGTCGACGGCGTGCCAGCGTTGCTCCTGCAGCCCAGCATCGCACCAGCTTCGCAGGTGCTCGTAGGTGATTGGCGCGCACTGCTTCGTCACCTGCACAGCGCACACACCAAGTCCACCTCGTGCTGACGACTGCATCTCATCTGCCACCACCGAGGCCTTTCTCGCCAACCTCGCCTGGGCGACCTTCGCGTGCCTTCGCAGATCCTCGTCACCCAGGTAACATGGTCGACCGGGCAACCAGGTCGACCAGCTGCTCCTGTGCGTGCCCGTCGACCTCCCAGGTCGACGACCACTTCCAGTCGACCTCACCAGGTCGACCACTGCCTCCGGTGTGTGTAGGTCGACCTCCCAAGTCGACGGCTACCTCCAGTCGACCTCCCCAGGTCGACCACTACTCCCTGGTCGACCAGCTCTAGGTCGACGTCACTCTTGTTCGACCAGAAGGTCTGGTCGACGTCCCAGGTCGACCAGAAGGGCTGGTCGACTTCCCAGGTCGACCAGAAGGGCTGGTCGACTTCCCAGGTCGACCAGAAGGGCTGGTCGACTTCCCAGGTCGACCAGCCAAAGTTGGCGCCCTCCTGAAGTCGGCGCCCATGCAGTGGCTCCCCGTGCAGGTCGACCAACCTCGTCGACCAGCCCGCTCACTGCTGCAGGTCGGCTGCACCCCTACACCCGACCACGAAGTCGGCTCCGCCCAAGCGAGGACGGGGCCAACACCCAACTCCCGATGACACCTCTTTCGTCGCCTACTATCGTGCTCATCGCCTACTATTGCGCTTGTTGCCTACTATAGGCAGAGCCGAGCGAGGCGGGAACCACGGGGTAAACCAGGCTCGGAAGTTGCGAAAGGTGCGGAAGCGACTCGGAAGGGTTTTTTCTTTTTTTTTTTTTTTTTTTCGTGATATGTTCACTATACACTGGTGGTACATGTGCATACGAAAACATATGTCAGTCGTAACTGAGCGCGAGAGGCCGAAAGCTAGTAAACGTCCCCAGAGGTAGTGTCTAAGGCGGATGCAGAGCGCCTCGCGCGAGGTTCCTCAGTGCCCCGGAATTGCGGGTCCACATCCAGCCCTTCTCGTTCATGCATCGGATGCGTCCAAGCAAACAGTTCTCCAGTACCGCCAGTGCTAATGTCCTCCCTTGTCGTTTCGAACCACCGCCCTTTCCCAGCTTCCTCCCCATTGCTCGGGTGTACACTTTCACATGCAGCCAAAAAGCTGTCTCAATGCGCCTGAGAACGCGCCGAGCCCGGAAACGCTTCTCTCGGAAATCACAATCACGCCGCTCTGCCCATATCTGGTGCACCGCAATTGCTACCAGCGAGGCTTCGGGAAAGGCTGAGGTGGACGCTGCCTTGCCAAACAGCAAATCACCCAAGCTCTTCACTTGCCTCGCTGGATGGAGCAAACGTATGGCCCGCCTGACTGCCCCCACCACCAGCTGAATGCGCGAGCAGATGAAGAGGCAGTGCTCCAGGGTCTCAAAATCCCCACAGTGCGGGCAGATCGGCTTGCCACTTAGGAAAGAGAGTCGTTCCCCGACTCGTAGATTCAGACAGTGAATCCTCAGCAGCACATCGCGCGGCCCGTTTGGGGTCACCAAAGAGTCCCGGATCTTAATGACCTCCTTCTAATTTATTTCTCCTCCCCATCTGCCCGCCACAGCTCTCTCTTTGCGGACTGATGTTTCTTCTGCTGCCAGCACCCCTTCAGCTACCTCAGCCACGTCAGCTGCCCTCCGCTGAGCACCAGGGTTCTGTGGAGGAGAGCCCTTGGTGCCGAGGAGTCTCCCTCTTGTTGCTCAGCAGGCAGAAGGAGCAGCTTCCCGTTCTGCAGCACTGCGTCCCAGGCCCGCAGCGCCAGCTTCGCTTGTTTGGTACCGCCTAGCTCCTTCGCCAGATGTTTTACGTCCTTAGGCCATTGTCCCCCCGCGCCGTCCAAAAACATAGCAAGTCGCTAAGCCGGACCTCCCAAAGCTTCTCCGCCGCCTTCTGCCCTCCCACCGGAGTCTTCCCGTTTAGCAGAATATGGCGGTTGAAAACAATCCTCTCCTTCTCTGCCTCCGCCCGTGACAATGTTGGTGATGTGTCGGCCAGCAGCGATTGCAAGAACTTGCCACAAGCCAGCTTCCGTCTCTCGCTCTTCCCACTCCAGCACTTCAGGAGCTTGACATGGGAGACAAAGGTGTGTAGCCCCAGCGGCAAGTCAGCAGCCTTGAGCATGATGTCACGTTTCAGCTCGTTTGTCTCAGTGAGGAGCAGGCCGATACGCCTCGCCGTGAGACAGGTGAGGGCTATCTCCAAGTCGTTCACCCCCACTCCCCCATCCTCTCTAGCCATGTAAAGCAGCTCCTTGCTCCACAGAATGAAAGCCTTGTCTGTGAAGGCCCGATTTCCGGACATAAAATTGTGTGTTAGCTTCAGGATCCTCCCCCAGGTGTCCACCGGAGGTGGGTACACCTGCGCCTGGAAGAAAATGATAGGTGAGATGTAGCAGTTTATTACTGCTGCCCTCGCCCCGGTCATTTGGTGTTGCACCTCCCACTGCCTCAGTTTCTCTTTTATCCGTGCAAAAGCCTTCTCCCAGGTGGGCGCAAAGCAACCGGCCGGCGTCACCCAGACCCCCAACAGCCTCTCCGCCTCGTCGTCCTTCACCCATTTGAAGTCGTCGGTTTTACTGGCCATTTTGTTCAAGTTGCAGCCCAACGGTAAGACAGCTAACTTTAATTTGTTGGTCGCCATCCTTTTCGAAGTCATCAAGCAGCTTCTCAGCCTTTGCTATCTGCTCTTCCCCTTGCAGGAGCAACGTCGTGTCGTCCGCGTACCCCAGGTAGGCTAGCCGCTGGTCGCCCCCCCTGAGGCCCAAATTGTGGTTCGCGGCTTCCTGTGCCATCGGCTCAACGGCGCACAGAAAGAGGTAAGGCGCGAGGGGGCAGCCTTGTCGCTCCCCTGATACCACCTCAACCACTTCCCCCATCTAACCGTTGACTAAAAGCCGTGTCTGTGTGTCCTCGTCCAGGCCCTTGATCCAGCCGACAAACTTGCTGGGGAAGCCCATCCTTTCCAACACCGAAAACAGGTAGTTCCTCGAGAGAGAGTCGAAGGCCTTCTTAAAACCCACCAGCAGGAGGTACCACTCTGCGTTTTCGTTCTTTGCTGCTTCGATTACGCCCGCAACCAGCCCCACCGCGTCAGAGAGCCTCCGGCCCGGCAAGAACCCGTATTGCTCTGGTGAGATAACCTCGTTCAAGACACCTTTCATCCTGTCTGCGACTACCCGCGCCAACACCTTGTAGGTGAAACTCAGAAGCGTGAGGGGGCGGTAGTTTTCAACCGCATCTCTTCCACTTTTTTTGTGCAGCAGTATAGTAATAGCGCTCTTTGTGCTTGCAGGGAGCACCGCTGACTCAGTGAAACTCTCCACCAGCGCCATGAAGTGCTTCCCCAACACGTCCCAGTGCTCTTCAAACAGCTCCTTCGGCAACCCATCACTCCCTGGGGCCTTGTTCTTCGCCATCGCATGAAAAGCGCTTTTCACCTCCTTTTTCGACCATGCCGCCGTTAGCCTCCCCCTTGATGCCGGCGACAACGTTCTGTTAGCAGCAGGGGCCTAGCCCAACTCCGCGTGCTGCCTGTCGTGCCCAAAGAGGTCTCTGTAAAACTGTGACGCAACCCCCAGTATAGCTTTATTGTCGGTGACCGTCGCCCTTCCAGCACTCAGCTCCTTGATCTGTGTTTTCTCCCGTCTTGCCTTGATCTTCCCTGACAGGAATGGGGACGCAACTTCCCCGGTCACTGCCTTATACATGCCAGCCATCATATGCAGCCTCTCTTGCCTCGCCAGTTGATACCCGCGAAGCTGCGACTCCTTCTCGTCCAGCAGAGCTTTCAGCCACTCGTTCCCCAGGTCACCCAGCCACGCCTGCTTCAGCGCCGCGACAGCTTGCTGGAGGTGGACCGTCGTAGCTTTAACCCGCTTGCGTTTGTCCTTCACGTAAGATTTGAGACCGACGTTAAGACGCGGAATCAGTAGCTCAAAATTCTCCCCATTTGACGCAACCTGCCTCTCTACTGCCTCAATGCTCTTCCTAACCCCCGGCCGTCAGATCATGTATGCAGGCAACTTCCAAAGCTCGTGGCCCAGCTTCACCCGTGTATCCATCCTGAAAGCGGCCTTCACTGCAAAGCTGTGGTCAGAGATCGGGTCCGCCGGCATGATGGGCGTGACAAACTCCACGTGTAATAGCAACGACTGCGAGACAAGTGCCCTGTCAATCCGCGAGCTGGACTGGTTAGCACATGAGTAAAAGGTAAACTCCCATTTATACGGGTGCAGCACCCTGAAAGAATCTGAAACACTGAAGGCGGAGCACCGCTAACTCCTCATTCTCTTTTGCCGAGCCTTTCCTCGACATCCTGTCCGGCAGCGGGTCCTCTACCAGGTTGAAGTCCCCCAAGATAAGCAGGTGCGTACCCGGCTGTACCGAATCAACCACTGGGACCAGCGTCCTGCGGACAAAAACCTTCCTTTCGGCTGCATCGGCCGGGAAATAAACGGCCAGCAGGGTGATGCAGAAAGAGTCGAGGCGGACTTCCGCTGCGACAAGTCTGCCTGACAGATGAACCAGCGTGTTGTGCAGGGAGAGGCCAGGCCTACGGCAGATGAGAGCTACTCCCCCGGCTTTGGTGGTTGGTGAGGCGACTAAGATGTTGGGTTGGTTAAGAGACTTCCAAAAGGTATGTTCATCCGAGAGCCTGACGTCAGCTAGCACAATGGCATCTGCTGCCTGCCTGATCCATGATTTCGTGCGTTGTTGCTTGTTCCCGTCTCCTAGGCCGTTGACATTCAGGCCTGCAAATGATAGAAGGCTTTTCGTACCTATTTTATCACTGCTGATAAGCCCCATCGCATCCACGGGCGGGTACTACCGGCTACAACTACACAGACAAGCATCAGCTCCACCACAACGCTACTCTGCATCTGGCATGAAGGCAATTATCTTAAATCTGATATTCCTTGCGGATGACGTGCAGACCCAGCTTCTCCAGAGAGCTGCGGGTGGCAGCACCCAGCTTCTCCAGGCCCAGCAGGTGACTCGCCGACGTGATTTGATCCGCTGCAGCCATAAAGGACTTGCCAGGGTCTTTCGAGAGTGCACAACCACTCCTCCCAGTTGCTCCCAGTGGAAATCAGCACAAAAGCCGCATCCAGCAGTAGCGGGGTGATAAGCGGAGAAGCGCGAAGAGAGGCAGCTGCAAGAGGCAAGCAGCGCGTCAGTAACCGTTAAGACAGGTAAAGTGAAACGACAACCCGAAAAAGGTAAGATGCAGTTACTATTGATCCTATGAACCTGTCACACAGTTAAACTCCACTTCCCTATGTTATTCTGACGCTCCGTGATGAAAGCATTATGAAACTTGTCATAATGGTGTCCACCACAGAGCGCGCATGATAGCAACGGGTAGTGGGCCAACAGGGTCGTTCCTCCCTGCAGCTGATGACGGAACTCGTGACGCCAGCGGTGCTTGTCGCCAGCGTGCTGAAGTACCAATCCCTTGATCTTGTCAGTATCAGCGCCAGTGACAGGGTGCAGGACACGCGGGAAACAGTGGCCTTTGGCGAAGGCAGACTGCTTCCGGATCCTGAGCGGGTGAGCCACCATGATCTCCTTAACCAGCTCCGACGGGATGTCAGCAGGTACGTTCTTAAAGAAAACCTCCAGCAGCTGCGGGCTCGAAGCCTTCTTGCGAAGGTAAGCCGCGTCCTCCTGATGCAGTCAGAAGCAGTGTAGCGTTGTGCCGTTCTGACGCTTGTGTTCCACCGCAGTCTGCTTGATGTTCACCGCGTCAGATTCGTGCAGGAAGGAGACCTGAAGCCGATTGTAGCGGGTCTTTGCGACGAAGGCAGGGAGCAGCTCCTGGAACTTCACCGAAGCGAGAACATCATCAGTAAGCAGGTTAGACCAGACGCGTTTCATTAGCGTCCTCACAGTAGCGTCCTCACAGTCAAAATGACCGAAGCAACTTCACGGGAAGGAATAACGGGGAAGAGCAGGATCGCAGTGAAGAGCTCTTAGTCACGTCGATGTCGAGCTCCTCATCCGAATTATCTTCAATGAAAGTATCATCCGAGGCCACCGTTGCCAGCGCCTTCAGCTTCTCTTCGAGGGTGAGTCCGAAGCTTCCAACGTCACCTCTGCTTCTGACGGGATGTTGTCAATGATCTCCTTTCCCTTGCCTGGCGATTTTTTGCCTGCAGGATCACTCCCATCAGCAAGAGCATCAGCCATCGGCTTAGCGTGCGAGTTCTTCGGAGGCATCGTGCGATGATGACAATAACCCAGCAGAAGCTCTTGGAACGAGAGCTGAGAGAACTGATTGAACTGATGAGCCGGTGGTCTGAGCACAGCGTTGTTAGATAGTTGATAGCCACCTGTGGTTGTCCATTGTTCCTGGCAGAGGTGTTGCGTTGTTGAAGATAACACTTCGGGATCATCCCGTTGCACAACATCTGTGTAGCCAATGGTAGATCGCTTAGGTTGTTCCTTGACCATGAACCAGAACCGAGAGAGCCACGCGCTAGCATCGGGATTAGAAGCTTGAACCAGCAAAAGACATCATTGAGAAGACCGTTCAATGTTCGCCTGATGAATAGTATAGTCTTTTTCGTAAAGGTGTAGCGAATCCAAAGCTGGTAAAATAAAAGCCAACTGATGAACATGCTTCACGCAATGTGAGTTCCAGGCAAACGGTAGGCAGCCATGGCGGCAAGCTCGAGGCTGTCATTGTCATGTCAGAAACTCGTATTGCATGGTGACTCGGAAGTGGTTCGGGCCGAAATTGTAGTCCGAACCAGTTGAGGCGAACCCCTCGGAACATACAAGCTATAGAAAGCCTACAATAACAGATTATAATTCCTTATGCACCTGAACGTTAAGTCAGAACATTGATTTCTCCGCAAATTCTACCACGACAAGTCGTTGACACGCTACAACAAATGCAAGGTGATCTTGTGCAGTAAAATTGCGAAACTTACACGTATTACCACTTTTAACGTACCATATTATAGACGACGAGGCAAACAACCAAAATTGTCTGCATTGAGAGGTTGTAGGTACTATTTTCCCCGCATAACTCCACACTTGGTTGCGGCTTGTCTTGGCTTCAACCTGCCTGGTGGACCTCTTGCTGCCCCTGCAGACCTCATTTCCTGCATGGCAGAGGCGGTGGTGGGAGTGAGATGGTCGTGGGAGCATGGCAACTATTTGCCCCTCCCTGGCCCAACCATCTCCCCATCCATCTACCCCTCTCTGGCCCATCACCCATCATTGCTTTTATATCCCCATCATATCCCCATCATATCCCCATCATATCCCCATCAGCCTATGCACCCCATGGGTGTGCGTACAGCCCCTGCACTCATGCACCAACTGCCTCCTTCCCTCTTTCACCTCCCCTATAACCCCCTCCCCCTCTGCCTCTCCCAGCATGCTCGTGAGTAGCCTGCAAAACCCAATGCTGTTTGAGTGGGGGCAAGTAAGTGAAGTCAACATCATAGTTGCGGTAGCCGACAGTAACCTTAGTGAGACGGCGGCGAGACATATGCATTAGCACTTGAATGCTACTCGCATTACCCCTCACACATGCCCAGAGACCTATGCTTCGTGGTGCATGGCTGGCGCACGCCCCACAGCGGATTACTCACGCTTCACAGCAAATTACTCATACTCATGCATTGTGGTGCACAATCTCAGGATCTTAAACGCCTTAGTCGGCAATAGTCTAGTCGCCATTGCTTATCGTGTTTTCCACGATCTCACAAATCCAATGATATGCGCAGCTCTGCTTGAAGTTGTCAATACACACTTCAGCAATTTTCAGAATCTTCAACGAATTTCAATGTTGTCAATGTTGTGACTACCAGAATGAGTACAAGCAGTTTTATATAGTCATCCAAGGTACAAAACGCGATTCGTAACGTAACTTGTTTCCCAAGCAATCTCGCGCGTGCCACGTTTCACCCCGAGTTGCACACGAAACCGAACCGAATTCACCGAACTCTCCTCAAGTCCGAATCCAGCACCTTCTCGAACGTGCCTTGGTCTCGAACCACATTTTCCCCCGTCAATTTCATTCTCGATGCTTCTCCACTCTTCTTCCTCCTTCTAGCACATCTCTTCTCAATTTCTCTCCATTCCACTCCCGCTTCTCACGCCATAGGCCAATTTCCACTACTTCATTCTATAATACACGCTTCTTTCGCCTTCATTCCGCCGTCGTAGAAGCTTTCGCTGTAGGTTCCGTGGTTGGGCGAACCAACCCTAACACACAACTGACCCTGGATTTTGAGATATGGTTAGATCCCTGATTTTCCAGCCATTCTTCTGAGTCCATGAATTCTGGGATCTGAATTTTAGTCCGAATTGGTCACACAGCAAGTTACGAAGTAGTGTGAGGAGTGGTGTGAGACAGAGTGGTGTGAGGTGGAATGGTGTAGGATGGAGTGGTGTGATGCCATAAAAGGGGAGCAAGGATGAGGTAAAGTCAGGAAAAAATTGCATGCTTTCAGGCCTCCCTTGTTTTGTGCCTCCCTTTTCAAGTCTCTCCACATTGACTTGTGTGCGACCTACCAAGAGCATCACCATGAGTTATCATTTTCTTAGGCTCCACCTATCTCGGCCCAAAGAGAGCCAAGGGACGTTGTATGTGGCCATCAAGGGGGAGGAAGGAAGGGGGGAGAGGAAAACAGACTTCAAAATGATGGGTAGTGTGTCATAGTATGAAAAGCATGGAAGTGAATGTTGCAGCGCTCTCCCATAATGTGCTGTAGGAGCCGGGGGGGTTGTGGGGAGGAAGGAGGAAGATTTGCAATGAGCATGGAAAAGTGAGGCAGGGTAGGGGTGAGGTGCACGATGTAGCCAACCTTGTCTGTGGGTGGGGTGAAGGCACTGAAACTTCGTATTCCCACAATAGCAGTGGGCAGAGTGCCAAGGGGAAAGGCGAGCAGGAGAATCACTGACCTACCAGATCACATAACGGGCAAGGGGAGTCTCCCTACATAAAAGGAAGCTTAGGGCACGTCGGCATGATCAGTGAAATTTGGTTGACGCCAGAGCGGGTGGCAGTAGTAGAGGGCAGCATGAGAGGGCAGCACGAGAGGGCAGCACAAGAGAGCAGCACGAGAGGGCAGCATGAGAGGGAAACACTCTGGTGAGGGAAATAGATGCTACAGGCTGCACTATGCATACGAGGTGGGTGATTCGAAGGATGGGAAAGTAAGGATAGCAGGAGAAGAGGAAGAGAACCACAGGCGAGGGAGTTTGGTGATGAAGAGACGAGGAGTGATGGGAGGGAGCAGTAGCAGGGTATTCAGCCAAGCCTGCCACTGACCAGACGCGGCCTGCCACTGACCTGCCACTGTCACATTTGAATGAATGTGAAGGGTAAGGCAGTAAGGTGAATGGGCTGTATATACTGTAGATACTGTACATAGCGAAGTGGAGTTCAACGAGTACGGAAGCCGAAGAGACATTCGACATTTCACGAACGGAAAGGGGACTTGGGCAGCCGACGGTTGCCGAGCCTGAGGGTCGGAGGGTTGCATGGGTGAGTGAGGAGCTGGAACTTACATAAGCGAGGAGTGGCGGGCTGCAAAAACAGAGGCAGACAAGGCAGCGGCAGCTAGAAGCAGCAGCGCAGGATGAGATGGATGGGTGTACGTATGCATGCTTGTTTGCTTTCTTTATGTGTGCAGTATAGGTTCGGGGAGCCAGCTGGATCTGGAAGTAACAGCTGGAGGACGAGCAGACAGGGCAAGGAAGGGTGGCAAGAGGTAGCACGGCTGCAAGCCTGTGTGAAGCAGTTCTTAGCTGCTAGCGTAGGCAGGGATGACAGGACCGAAGTGTGGTGGTGGCTTTGCTGGTAGAATAGGCGGATTCCTGAACATACTATCCATTGCTTGTATATTTCCCTTTTACACGAGAGCTTTGCTGCAGATTGAGCAAACGGTGAACTGAGGGAGATATGGCAAGCAAGGAACTGTAGAAAGTGGAGCAAAGGTGTAGTATGTGAAGGAGCTCCGAGCTCATCACATACAAGCAATCTGAGGAGCCATGCCCACACGGTCAGGATTAGATTTCGCTGCGAAGGAACCGATTGTCGTAAGCGACACGATGGAGGGAGATGGGATAAACAAAGCGAAGGCTCAGGGAGCAGCCGGCGCGCTCGGCACGGAAGGAGGCGTGCACGGTAGGTCAGGGGAAGCCATGGGCTCCGACACCGCTCGCGAGAGGACGCGTGAAACAGACGAACCGGTAGAAGAAGGCGAGGCGGGGAAGCCTGTGTCGGAGAAGGGTGGCATCAACGCCGGAGGGAAGACGGGAACGGATCGACCGTACCAGCGGAGCGCATCTTGCAGGGGTTTGAGGAAGAGGCAGGCTCGTCGCGGTGGCGATACACCATGCTCCCAAAGGTGGAAGTGCCGGAACGATTTTCGGGAGAAGTGCGGCGAGGTCCTTCCCTGAAGAATTACCTTATGCAGCGCGAAACCTGAAAACCTGCGAGCGCGGTGGGAGCGAGATCAGCTGGCGGCGGAAGAATTCTTCCGAGGACTGGCGAATACGCTGACAGGAGAGGCGGAGACCTACTACCGGATTTGCAGCCGCAAGCTGCTGGTTTGGGCGGCGCAGAGGAGGGAGGGAGAAAGAGACCCTACAAAGCGGTTTTTGGAGATGCTGCGCGAGCAATTTCCGTTACAGACGCCGAAGCGGGTCGTAGAATTCCGAGATTTCAAGCGAAGGACGGGTGAATCTCTGTTAGCGTACTACGGGCGACTGGTGGAACTAGGGGAGGATATGAACTGCATGGATCAAGGGCGGCTCGTCAGCAAATTCTTGAACGGGTTGAACTACGAATTGCAGCGGGATGTGCAGGTGAAAATCTTCGAGTTGGGGGCTGCGGCGACGTTGAAAGTTGCGTACGAGACGGCGAAGAGAGTGGAGACGGGTCGGCAGCTGTTCGAAGTGGAGCGCACCGCGGAGTGGTCGGCAGAGAGGAGGCGGCCAACATGGAGCGCCAGCCCGGTTGAGCACGAGCGGCCGCCGAGAGGACCGGTCGACCTGCGCAAGTGCCACAACTGCGGCCAGAGCGGACATCTGTGACATGACTGCTGCAACCCACCGGCATGTTCCATTTGTGGTAAAGAAGATCATTTGAGGAGGGACTGCCCGGAGGCACCGACGTGTGACAAGTGCGGGAGGAGGGGACACGTGGAGAAAGAGTGCTATTCGCGGCGAGGGGAGTCTAGAGAAAAATGGGAAGT